ATGATAAGCCTGGATCTAATGCATAAGAGATACAATCAGATGTCCCCGAGATCCTATATTTTAAATGATTTTAGATGTAATAAGATATAGGACTTTCTGCTAAACAACGTAAACACATAGTGTTTACAACGCGTTTACAGCCAAAGGGCTGTAACCAGCCATAAACCTGTAAAAACACTTTTTATCAGCAACTCTCGAGTTTCTAATCAACAAAGATAATACAAATCAGTGCAACCTATGATTAAACTGTAGATGCTGGTACCCAAATAGAATTTACAAACATATTTTTACTGGGAAAAAAAGAGCTTCAAAAAGTGCATTATGTGAGTATTCTGATATGTACACCACTATTAATATGTTATTGCTTTGCTGGCAATACCTCTGTGGTATTTAATTGCAGGTGTTTTTGCTTCGGAAGAACCTGAACTCTCACATTTAGTCAACTTGTCTTTCCACATTTTCAGTTTTGCATCTTAATAACATGATTGCAAATAGTGATTTTACATTTCAAGCAATTCATTCTCATCTGAAGTCGTTTGTTTGGAATTACTTTACAGAGTTTTGTCGTATTGTGGAGCAACAGCAGACACACAATGAAAATGTTTATTCTCAAAACCTAATGTACACTTTATTTAATTGTATTGCACGCAAACAATAACAAAACAAACTCTCAGTTCAAGAACCCCCGGACCACATCTTCTCTAGTGACGGCCCCGGATGCATGCAAGTAGCGAGAATATGAAGATTAGGATCCTTTATTTGTCCCACAGCGGGGAAATTTCAGTGTTGCAGTAGGAATGAGGAGTGAACAATAGCTATACTAATTAAAATAAAACAAAATCTCTAACTCTAAGCTGTTGATCTGACTTATCCAAATAGCAATTGTGTGTGTATGACAAATCCACAACATAAACAGGATAAACAGGAGGCTGCAGTGTGTGTGAGAAGCAGCGCTAATGTGGCTCCTGAGTAGAGAGGGAGGCGCACAGGACGCTTCCGGATTGCGCCGTCAGTCAGTCCTCGCTTCTACTACGAGCAGCATGTCAACATCAGCCTCCAGAGAAAAAGTATCTACCGAGAGGGCCACTGTCCGCCAGTGACGCCCTCCGAGCTCCAGGGCCCCCTAAAGCGCTCCAACTTTTTTTTAGGATCGGGCATTTTCTCTCCTCTTTTGTGAAAACTTTTTTTTTGTAGGCGTCGAAGTCGTGCGAAAGAAGAGAGAACAACCAAACTATCGACGCAGGAAAGCAACGATCCTGGGGTTGTTGCTGCTTCAGAAAAGAGGTTTCTGTGTGGATTCTGCGTGATTTCGGCTGGTTTGATAAAAGAAGGTATGATGAGGCCACCTGAGATGTGATGTAATGTGGGTTTGCTTTATATGCTGTCCTGGCTTTGTCCATCCACAACTCTAATCACGCGTACAACTGGTCAATAACCTTTTCAACGCAACCTGGACAATGTTTTTCGGGAAGAAATAGCCGCACGCATGCACATTGTTGGCATATTTGTGTAACTATACTGTTATTGCTCGTCACAGAACAGCAGTGCGTATCCAAATCCTGCATAAAGTAAATGTTGTATATATACATTGATCTTGGAGTGATTGGCTCTTTGTATGTAGATTAACAAATGATCGCGTTGAAAAAACATGTATATTCGATTATACATGCATGCAAAGCAATGGAGAATTCCTTTGGCATATTTCTCAAGTATTTTTTTTACTCTTTGCTATTTCTTCTGTCATTGCCCACTCGTGCTATCGTGTGGGCAGGTTTAATATTTTCTCTGTCCCACTCACTTTCAAAGCAAAAGGATTCTTTTGTTTGGAAGGTTTGTTTGAGTATAATGTTGGGTGTCTGTCTACACTTGCTATGGGTTCCATGTCAGTTTAATAAGCCTCTAACCAGGATGATGCTCCTGAATGTGCAAAGTCCAAAACTGCACGCTATAACACACTTTTATTTTGACATATTTCTAACAATGTTTTAACTGAAAACATTTATTATTGTTAATATGCAATTGAGCCTAACCTTTTAGAATATACAGTACAGACCAAAAGTTTGGACACACTTTCTCATTCAATGAGGTTCCTATCTTTTCATGACTATTGACTGTGTAGATTCACACCAGGCTGTGTAAGAGCTATTTGACCAATAAGGAGAGTGGTGGGTCCTGGGCCAGATGACCCGGCCTCCACAGTTACCGGACCTGAACCCAATCCAGATGGTTTTGGGGTGAGCTGGACCACAGAGTGAAGGCGAAAGGGCCAACAAGTGCTAATCATCTCTGGAACTCTTTCAAGACTGTTGAGGACCATTTCAGGTCACTGCCTCTTGAAGCTCATCAAGAGAATGTTAAGAGTGTGCGAAGCAGTAATCAGAGCAAAAGGTGCAACTTTGAGGAACCCAGAATATAAGACATATTTTCAGTTGTTTTATACTTTTTTTTGAGTTACGTACATAATTCCACATGAGTTAATTCATAGTTTTGTGGCCTTCAGTGTGAATCTACAATTTTGATAGTCATGAAGATAAAAAACTCTTGAGATCGGTGGGTGTGTCCAAACTTTTGGTCTGTACTGTAATTGTTGCCATAGTTGTTATGTTTTTCTAAATCTCCTGGTTGTATTGAAAAATATTGAGCCCCAATAATAACTTAAAGATGTATTAGTGATCACTTATTCCTTTGGGCAAATCCTTCATATTTCCTTCCATTCTCCAACCCAACATTTCAGCAGCTCAGAGGAGTCATTATTAATTCTGCGGAGGGGGAAAAAACAGTAGGACTTGTGACTAACCCCACCACTCGCCTGCATTTGTCTCTTTGTGTGCGTCACTGGACAACAAGGAAATCCCATCTGCATCATGTACTTCTCAACTGCTTCTCTTCCTTAGCTTATCTCAAATCAATACGTGTCCCCAGGGACTTTATGGAGGGCAGGGTTCAGACATGTGAAAAGGCTTCATAGATCTCCCTTTGATAATGATAGTACCAGTTGTTACCAAATGAGTTAAATACAAGTTTTAGTGTTGATATCGAAGAGAATCTGGGGAATGTTTTTGACAACTTTACAATGTTACAGTTTAATCATCATCATGTTTGGTTGTACAGGGTTGGAAAGAACTTCTCTGCCGTTTTCTCGGCTCATAGCTTTTCAAATTTCAGCAGTTTGTTTCAGTCCTCTCCAGTGTTTGATGTTATCTTTCCACATTAATCGTGGTCTTCCTCTGCCTCATGTGGCCGCTACTTTCCTTCCTTGACCTCCTTTTTGGTCACTTCGTCAATCTGTCTTATATAGACCCGAATTTCTAATACCCCCAGAGACGATTAGGCCATCTCTTTGATCCATACAGTTAGGGGTGGGCGATATGGCCTAAAATTCATATCGCGGTATGATTTGGGTCACAGACGGTAGACGGTATACATCACGGTATAATTTGGTGTGTGAATTTCAATATAGGTTTAGCAGGTTCTTGCATAAAATAGTCAAGATTGTTACTTATCTATACATTAGAATCTGATATATATTTTTTGAGTTTGAAAATCAGGTCAGAGACAAATGCTGTAACATACATTATTTATGTATGTTACAGTAAAGACCATTAACTGTGAAAGCAATTTTAAATAATATAAAAATATAAAATATATTATATAATATCTGTAGCAGTTAGACATGGTCATTATTTATAGTGTCAGAGTTTAGTGCGTATGCATGGCTTCAGTAAAAGCTATTGTTCGTTTACAAAGCTAGTCTTGCCATTTGTTGACGCTCCCTAAGCGCTTGCTGTGAACTGGATGATTCAATGGATTTATCTGCATTAAAACAGCGCATTTGATTTGAACAATTGATGTAAATGCTCATTTTGGCACAATTAATTTTGTTTAACAAAGTAGCTTTCGTGATCTATTGACCGCGGAAGTCTGAATCGGACGCTAACTTTACAAAACTTCTGAGATGATGCGGACACGGCACACGCATGGATCTATTTCGGCTCACGATGGCGCTTCGAGCCTACGCCCCTTTGACACTCATTGGCCGAAAGGTAGACATGTAAACTGTGATTGCTGTGTGTGTATTTACCTCCGCTGGGGCCGCTGTGACCAATACAGAGACAGAAACACGGTGTGAAAGCCGTGCTGTTGTTTCCAGTGGTGTCTGCTAGGCTAATGTGCTAGGCTAATGCTGCTGAATGCCGGTTTGTTTTGGTCCTTTCTGCTGGCGTCAGAGCCTGCGCAATTTGATGACATAATGACCTATCGCAATATGCCGGTATAACAAAAATCTCTACCGTGGGCCAAATTTATACCGCATACCGCTTATACCGTTTATACCGCCCAGTCCTACATACAGTAATGCTGACCTTACATTACAGATTGAAATCTATCTATTATCTAATCTATAGGGCTAATGTTTAGGGCTTGGAAATGTGAGGACAATATTTTGCATAATTACAATATAAAAAAGATCCTTTGTTGTGAATGTTTATTTTTGAGATTCTCTTCTATTGTACTTCTGGCCACACTATTGAACATGGATGTATAGTGTCTTCTCAACTTGAACTGAAATTTATATTTATTCGGAGAAAATACATTTTGTTTAACTGAGACCTTCACAACAATTGCTCAAAAAGGTTTTGTGTGTGAAATGTCAGTGCACACTCAGGATTATTTGCATTGTTTTATTTGACCGTCCATTCTTTCAGAACTAGGGTAAGCTTGTGGATGTGGATTGGGTGATGGTATAAATACTATAAAGTCACACAAGGACAAAACTTCACTATATAAACACAGACAGATTTATTGTGCGTTTCTGTGAATCTACAATCTGTTGATTTGTGTAAACATCTACAAGAGAGCTGTGGAATGACAGTGATAACAGTAATTCTTGATCTTTTGTTACAGACTTCTCCATTGTGGTTGTGCTGCTGTGACGAGCATTGGCCCAGGGGACATTGTCTGATGTGTGTCCAGCACCTGAAGCCCATGGCCTGGCCGCTGGGATGGCAACCTCTGCCCTGAACCTCGGAGTCATGAACAGGTCAGAGCAGATTCCTTTCAACATTAAGCTTTTCCTAGAAGCACTTTGTTTGCAGTGACTGAAAAGCTGTTGAACAAGAAATATGATGTTTTTTATCAACACTTTTTGAAAACCAATAGTTAGAATATTTTCCTTTGTTTGATTTTTATTTCGTTTGTGAGATTTGTGCAATTATATGATGTTTTCTTGTCAAATGAAAAAAAGTCTCAATTTGTGGACGTAGCCAGACACGGTCCAGTGAAAGCGAACCAGACCAACATGTGGCTGGGTCCCTGTTCTGCTTTCCAGGTTTCCCTGTCAGGGCCTGGTACAGAATTATTTCAAAGTTTTGTTCCAGGTTTCTGGATTTGGCCATTATAGTAACAGAAAGAGAAATGGAATTTATGTAAACAAGGGTTGAAATGATGGACACTTTCTGTATTGAGTTATTTAGTGCTCCTCTTGTCTTTACAGTAGTAACCAGTTCCACACTCAGCCAGGATCCTCCAGCAGTGTCTCCAGAGCAAGGACCAGTCCAGTGGGTCGACCTGTGCTCCCTGTCCCCGACCGAAGCACCTACTGCCAGCTGTTGGGAGGTCTCTACAGCCCCACCAGCCCCACCAGCCCACCCACCCCCACGGTAAAAGTATATTTTCAATAGATTGTATGAGGAACTTATGTGTTTGTGGAAAGAATGTGTCTAAAGCAGACTTTTAGAGTTTGCTGATATGAAGTGCCTCAATACAAAACTTGATATATTTTCAGTTTGATATATTCAAAATACTGTTATTCAAAATGTTGAAATATTTTGATATATATATATAATATATGTATATGTTGTTAAAACAAATAGCACACCACTACTTAAACTTCCAAATGTGCTTTTGCAATCAGCAATGAGAGGTGCCAAACAAGCCTGAGATCCTTTAGCACATTCCAATTTAGCATTCTACTAAACTTTATGAAGTCAAATCCAATCATCATCTTGATCCTTAAATCTTAGACAATTCTCTGCTTTTGTGAAATTGTAACACTACAATACAGTGTGTTTAGTCTAACTCTAAACACAGACCCTACAAAAAGCCATGAGGCAGACTCAAAAATTAATTATAGACATGTGCACTCGTGAAGGATCAGATGACTTTCATTCAAGGGCGTAGGTTTGCGTGGGGACCATGGGGACATGTCCCCACCAATATTTGGTGAGGACTAAAAAGTCCCCACCAAAATGACATGATGTCCCGTGACCCGGACGGTCCGGGACACATGTCTTCCGTTTGTGCACACGTCGCGCCTCCTCCTCGCCTCCAGAGCAACAGCAGCAGCAGCAGCACGTGACCCGTTCCGTTCTCTGCAGTGATTGGCTGTCTTCTTCAGCGCCAAACTGAAGCACTGAGCAACTGTTTAATTTTTAAAAGTTAGCCAGCGTGAAGCAAGTGTTTTTTTTTCGTTCCCTGAGCGTTGTAGCACGTGAGTAATCAGAGGAAAGTACTGTAGATCTATTACCATTCATTACGTTATTTCTAATCTGTCAGCGCACTGTTTAATGTTCCGAGGAGCTCACACGGCATACAGAGACAGAACAGAACTGGCTCCAATAAAGAAACAGGTTGGTTGAAAGGCTGAAAAAATACTTATTGTGCTCTTACTATCCAAAATGTATAAGTGGGTGTGTTGTGTGAATCAGGATAAACTAGGGATGAAAATATTCCACGGATCCACGATTTACAACCTTTATCTGCTGATAATGTAATTTCTGTGAAATGTGTGACAGCGGGCACTTGCTGTTATTTTCTCTCAGCACATTTAAGCGATGCACTCGAATGTGCACGTCCTGGTGCAGCTGCTGCCGCTTTGTAATGACCGCCGCGGCGCTCAGTGAAAGCACAGCTCTAACATGGTACCGAGCTCGGACCATATGCAGACAGAACCATGTTGCAAGTGCGGGTCTCCCTCGTATCTCCCCCGTTTCTCCCCTGTGTCTCTGACATGTCTCTCCCCTGACTCTTCCCAAAGCGCAACCAGCGCTCCCGAAATTAAAGCTCGGATACCTAAATTTTCCATTGCGTTAACGATGCATGCTGGTTGTGCGCAAAACACCACAACAGGTCATTTAAGTTTTTATTTTGCATACTTGAGAACCCTGTGAGTCATTACTTGCCTTTTTGGGTTGAGAGTGGAATGAAAAAAAGAAAATATAGAAAAATCCACACTGTTACTTATTGCCAAACTCTTGTTAACTCATTGTATTGAGAAATACTATGTAACTTTTGACATTGGCCAAGTTATATAAATGATTCTGCAGTTCATGTATATGAATGTCTGTCTATACCTTCTTATATAATTTTGAAAAAATGCCACCTCCACAAAAAAAGATAAAATATATCAGGAGCTTTTTTAACAGTTGGAAAGTAAGTAAGCAAAAGCACAAGTAATAGCAAATTATGAATTGTGATGATTAATCTTCTGTTAACATACATAGGAAACTCAACCAACAAGAGAGAACAATATAGGGAATGTTGAGGTAGAAGCAACAGGCCCTTCAGTGCATCAGGCGAGGTTGGAATTTTGTAGGTATGCATGGGACTATGAATTGTTTTTAGAGATTAATCGTATATGTCAAACAATGTAGTGAGCTACTCACTGTAGATTCTAATTCAATATTTTCTCCTCTGTTTTTATAGGAAATTGAAAGATCAGAGCATGATTTATTTCAAGTATCGAGAGCAGTTCCTGAACTGTTAGAGCCTCAGGTGAGGGCTATTATGTAGATTTGGATTAGGTTTAAGTCAGTATAGAATGAACGCAACACAAAACTCAGAAGCTCTGATCCAATTGATTTTGTTTTAACTATTAGAAAAAATCCTTAACTGCTTCTCATTCAGTCTACAGCTGAGTTTAGTATAGAAGGCAACACACTATTGCAAATATAGTGTGTGATTACACAACAAATTCTGGGGGAGAAACTCTGGACCCCGTGTCAATGGGTGTAGACTCAGGTCGTAGTGAATGTCCCCACCAAGACTGGAACCAAACCTACACCATTGCTTTCATTACCGCTCTCACCGCTCCAAGGATAATGGAATAAATGTTGTGATATGACTCCCAAGATGAATTGTGATGACATTTCTTTTCTATCTAAACAGTTGAACAGAAAACCTATGCTAATAACTGGCAGAAAGAAACCCAAAGTTTGTATGTGCTCTCCTAGACTTTAAGTGGTTGGATGATGTATTCAGAGATGGGAAAGTATTACTCATTTTTGAACGCTGTTTTAGAAGATTTTCTTCAATCCTTTTTTCCGATGACCATATACCCTGAGAATTCCTTGACAGCCCTTACCTTCACAATGCTTACCTTACATGGTATGGCTGAATCTGCTCTTTTGTGTTTCACTGCCAGACAAGTCATCAAACTCTGGGTCCAACTTTCGTCTTTCCCACCTCCCTGTGCCCAAGCCCCAACCTGCCTCGCCGCGCTCGCTCCCCTTCTCCCCGCAGTCCCGAGCTGCTGGGAGTGAATGTGGGACGGAGAGTGAGACGCCTAAGCTCTCCCGGCTGTGAGGAGCACGGGGAAGCCGAGGGCGGCGCAGAGGAACACCCGGGGGAGAGCGAGTCCAGGGAGGAGAGGAGGAGGCAGGCCCAGTTGCTGCAGATCCATCGTGAGCTCCAGAACGTGGAGGTGAGACTATGGTGGCTGTTGTGGTCTTACACATCACACGCGCAGTGAGGGTGTTTTCCATGTATTTTCAATGAGAGTCGGGCAATGAGGCAAGGCCCCTGTTTTGGGCTGACGAGCGTGGTTTGGTGTGTCTGCGCGGCGCTCGTCTATGCGGTGCTTTGGCGTGTGGTGTGTACACTCCTCGTATAATTGCAGCGCATTTAAATTTTGCCCATTGGCCCCCCTGTCGTGCTGCTGCGCATGTCTCTCCACTTTATGGGACGTGTGTGGTATGTACAGGTGCATTCACTTTACCTGAACCAACTTTTTCAAAAGACGTTTTAAAGCTAACTTTCAAACCGCAAACATTGAACTATAGAATATAGTTCCCCGCTCTAAAAACTCTTTCAGTTCGGACAAACACAATTTGGTATTTATGCAACAAAAACTGATGTGCCTTCTGGCAACTTAAAGCATGGGTTTGTAAAAGAGTGCATTTTTGCCAAAATCCTGCGTCATGCCTCTTTATGTGACTAGTGGACACATGTTTTCATGGTTCACAAGTCTAATCTCTTGTCATGAATGGCCCCATTGTTAGTGAGGATTTCTCTGCATAGATAATTGTTTGAGTGAGAACTCCTGTGCAGTTTGGGTCAGATACATCAAACAAGTAGTTGTTTCAACAGAATTTCAGTTTAGTCGACTACAACTCGAGACTATGGGCCCTTGCACATTGTTAGACTTTGTGGAGAAATCAAACCAGATAAAAGAAAAACGCATAAATATATTAAATGAGGTATAAGTGTATTAATCCTAAAAGAAAGGCTTGTGCCAGAGAGAGCCATAAATAATGATAGGATAAACAACGGGAGTTATGTGTGTGATTACTTGAAGCAGTTCAGATTTGTATTTTTAATTACTCAAGGATTATCAGGGGATTATCTATGGCAATGCTTTTCAACAGGACCGTGACATGTTAGTCTGTCTTGAGAACTTGTTTGGTGTGCGTTTGGAAATGATCCAATATCAACTAATTTGGCAAAATTATGTGAAATAAATAATGTGAGAAGATTAGAAAGACTTTTTTTGATTTTGTATTTAATGCACGGTTATGATAATGACTCTTCATTGCTGATAAAGGCTGCAGATTTTAACACCATGCCTTTAACACCAAGTCTGCAAAACGACATCCAAGTGAACACCTGTGGTACATTATAAGAATAAATACAAACCAAATTAACTTGTATCCTGTGCTGCCTTTGTAGGTCAGAGGAAAAGTCGGTATTTTCGAGGCCCACATCTCCGGGATCCGTGCCCAGGTCCACAGCGAACTCCAGCGCAGTCCCCGGTCTCCACGGCGATCTACAGGCCTCGCCCCCTTCCCTCTCAGCCAATCTCCAAACTCTGCACCCCAATGCCCAATGACACACCCACAGGAGAGCAAGGTTCCCTGTGTGGTCCCTAATGGACAGGAAAGAGAGGAGGAAAGGCAAGAAAGTTCTGCTAAGTCGCGCACTGGGAACCAAAATGGCAGCACGGACACAGGTTCTTCCAACCCGCTTTTGTCGGCTGAGGATAACGTAGAGCAGCTTGGACTGAAAGATGGAGATGAGCTTGAAGCAAAAACAGAAAGGACAGATCTAGACAGAATGGAATCGCATCAAAATGAGACTCAAATGGATGGGGTTGAATGTGGTGTCACCCCTTTGTCGGACCACTCTTTTGCAGTCCCGCCTCCGATCCCTGCAGTTATAATAACCAACCACGAAAGCCCTCTCCCAGATGTGGATGGACTCTGTTCGGACCAGCCAATGTCTTGCACACCCAGCCCAGGCTCCAGTCCCGTTCCCGGGCACAACTTTTCCACACGGTCCCTGAGGAAGCTGTCGTCGTCCTCCACCTCCTCAGCTGGGTTCTCCTCGTCGTGGGAAGAGTCTGAGGATGATATCTCCAGTGACACAGAGAAAGGGGACCAGCTACTCAACCCCACTCAGCTCACGTCTCAACAGAAAGCTGTGAGTACAATATCAACTTCAATTTAACTTTATTTTTTAATGGGACAATCTCATCTCATGTCAATCTAAAATTGTAATGAAAAGCATTGGCAATAATTTTATTTAGTACATTTTAATTATTATTTTGGCAATGGTTGTTGTATCACATTTGCATATTGTCCAATAAGTGGCTTACACTTGACAGTCATACATCAGGAATTTTATTGATTGCCATTGCTTAATAACAGACGTTATTAAAAGCTTTTTATGTATTTAAACAATTTATAGAAATAAGCATGCTTAGATCTGAAAGCCGATATCCATAAAGAAGTTGATGTTGTTCAAGCCTGATTAAGTATGAGGTCAACCTTGAAATTAAATAATATTGTTTTGATAAATCTTGAAGTAAGTCAAATGGCTCAGGTTAATAAAGTAAATAGAAATAAACTATTGAAAAACGGTTGAAATGAATAACAAAACCTTGAATTCAAGTCCATTTTAAATTATCCTGAAACACATTTTTTGAAGAACAAGAATCAAGCTTAAAAAGTACATTTTGTTTGCCCAACAAGTAAAATATGTCCTCTTTTGCATATTTGTAAGAACGAGCCCAATGAGCCACTATTTGATGTTTTGGGCTGAGAACTGATTGGCTGAGTGAGGGTAGTTCTCTCTTTTTTCACTTTTCTGTTTGAAAAAGCTGATGTAAAGATGTAACGGAAGCCATAAACACATGTCTGTGAAAGCTGGTTCAGAAGTTAGGTACCACAGTTTTAATTACCCTTTTCCCCAACCCCCTTTAGACACACTCCTACTACTTTACATTAGTAGCTATGTTGGCAAATTTGATTTAGGTTAGGGGTTAGAGAAAGGAATTCTTTACACAGCTTGCCTTAAAAGTATAAAAAGGGGATGCACAGTAAAGTAAAAAATCCAACAATTTAAAAATACATTTACTAGCAATAGCCATTCAAATCGCAGTTGTCTTGTTAGTAGCTCCTGTCAGATGCAGTAAAGCGATAGTTGATGCGTTGCTTGTCGCTGCTGTGTCAAACTGGCCTCTCTCCCTGAGCACCAATGACATTCTATGTAACAAAGCCGCCTCTGTGCCCCGACCTGTGTGCGTGGGTGTGCAAGGGGTAGAGAAAAGAAAAGTGTTTATGAAAAAAAAAAAGGCAAAATAAAGTGAGAGAAACAAGTGCCAGTCAGAGAGTTTTAGCCGCATTTGTGATTCAAAGTGGAGGCTGGAGTGTCGTGTGGAGGCGGAGGCCGGGATTATTTGTTTTGTTTTGAAGAAATAAGTTCACAACGAGACAATCTCTCTTCTGCTTTGAGCTGGTTTTGTTTACACTGTTCTGTTTTAAAGTACCTTAAACTATACTGGTTGGGTTTCATGCATGCATTAGTACTTTACCTACAAATATCAATAGTCGTTGTATTGTCAAAATAGCAGTTTGGTTGGATTCAGCTTCGCAGGGACACAAATGGTTGTACGTATGTAGTACGTAATTGTTGTATTGATTTTAGGGTCTACAATTGCACTATTATATCACATATCAGTGAGATGATTCACTTTTACTCTTTCTGAGTTGTTTTGTTCTTGCTTGCAGGATGGAACAGTTAAACTCAATTGGAACCTTTTTGTGTAAATTATCTGTGATTTTTTGTGTGGCAAAAGGCTATTTTCACTCCCCCAGAGAAGGGAATCCCTAAATGATTGACTGAGTATTACTTCTGATCTATAGAAACATTATACTAAACTAAACTATCATTATTGAAATATTGGTGGTGCTGTGTGTATATAATTGGCCTGTGCTGACAATACAAAGCCAATCACACACATTCACTTACAGTAAATGTATTTTGCACATCTCGTTTCTTTGTGGCTTAATTTCAATCGCAGAGAAAATTCAATGTCAATTTGTGTTATTGAGATGTTCCGGTCAGAGCTCAATAACAGGTGTCCTGAGTTCCAGACTTGATTTGTTTAAATGAATAGGCCTGATAGATTTGAATAGTTTTTGTTTACATGTTTGCATTTTTCCACTGTCCGGAACAAAGGATTTTGTTTTTCGGGATTAAATGAAAGACTGAGATACATGTAAATATTTGAAATCCGGATTTAAGGACACATATTATGCAAAATCGTGTTGAAAAAAGTATTCAACCATGTTACAACATCCCATCCAAATCATACCTGGACCTGGCTTCATCAACACTATGTAACCTATGGCACAAACACGTCCACCTGCCCATTCTGTTTAAAAGCTTTGTTTTCAAACTCATTACGCTGTGTGATGAACTCTCAAAAACCTTGGATACAACCATTTTCTGCATTTTAACCAAAAGATTTTCCCTCCATATTACTTTTCTCTCTTTCTCCATTCAATTTACACTATTACAAATGTGCACCTTCAATTAGACTGCACCATGTTAAATGTTTCATACAAAAGCCTTTTTTTAACCTATAGATAGAAATCCATATACTTCCTACTTTAGTGAATAACTAATCTTTTATTTGTAGAGCGGATTTTACACACCAAGGGCTAAGTGCAATCTTGCATATTTCTATTCACCCCAAACCACGTTAAAGAAGAAAAACAATTCGAACAAAATGAAAATGCCCAAAACTGATCTTGCAAAATTGACACAAATCATTACATAATATTTGTTCTTTAAAATGTTCTCGACAGCTGCAGTCAGCAAGTGCACCAAACATGCAGAAACACATAAAGTATGCTTGATTGTGTGGGAGGAATGCAGGATAGAGGAGCGGTGGAGACACAGAGGAGCGGATCGAACTGCAAACATAAAACAAAACAAACCCGAGATTACAAAGAACTGGAAAATATGCATAGAAGCTGCAAAACTATCTCTTAAAATTCACAGCTAATCCATCATCTATCGCTAAGTAAGCACAGAGAAGTGTTCTGGCTTAGTCCTTGGCATTTCCCGGATTGTGGCCATTGATTCAAGTTGAGGTTCAAAAGGTTTAACCAAAGAAAGTGTGGCATTTTAATTTTTCCCCAAAACACAGGTGCCTACGTAATAGGCCATCTGCTCGGACACGGTCGTTAGCTTTAAGATGATATCACCTCGTTTTCTCAGAGTACAGTGCGCACAGAACAGAGCCATATATAGAAGAGGCTTGGCAGATCTTTCTGCGTTGGGCATTTCTCCAGTTAAGGAGGGAGGGCTGTACCGGCAGGGGTGCTTTGGCAACTTTAGGACACCTGTAGCCTGAAATATACAGCTGTGCGCTCTGCTTTTGATGGTATTGTCTGGGCCTGTGCTCGGAACCTTCCAGCAAAAGACGATTGGTTGGCTGACAGAAAAAGTCACCTCACTTCGGGCTGTCGAGGACTAAGATCCTACAGATCAATTGGTCAACTCAAAAAGGAAAATTGAAATTTGAACTACAAAACTAGGAAATGATGTATATTTATTTAAAATTTGAGTAAACTGGAGTCATTTATTGGTCTGTTTCACTTTAACTGGACCAATTCTAGTTCAAGTCTCATTTTGTGGATGTAAAACCACAATCAAGTGACATGAATCCACCAGTCGGTTCACATCTTTTGAAACCTGTTCCTGCTCGCATTACTCGCCAGCTAAAGCTAAAATTGGGGATAGAGGGCACATGATTGGTTAGTCGTTAGGGGTCATAATCTGGGTTTACACAATGTCCGTGAAAGAAGGGAATTGAGGCCAACATTTTTCCATGAGAACTTCCCTATCAGACTTCATAGAATTTACCTGAATGAAGCCAAAGCCAATTGGAGCCAAACTTTATCCATGAGCACTTCCCTCTTAAACTTCATAGAGCGAGCTATGTTAGCATTAATATTTATTTGATCCAAAATAAATATGACTATAGCTTTACTCAAGGGCCTCTTAATCATAATCACTTATTCAAATAATTTCTTATCAAATTGGTCAACAAATAAGCATGAGGTGATCTGATTGTGTTTTTTGGAGGACTTGCCATCTAACTGTAAGACAAATAAAAGACACTGGCACCTCAAAGTCTATAACTGGAATAATGTGTTCTGCACACGGACTTGTAAAGATGCTCCTTACATAAGCGACTGCACCTTTTTTCCTCTCGATCGTCTCTCTCGGCGGTGACAAACCCATAATACAAACTATTACATCCTTGTTCTTTTCTCCACTGTACTGTAAGTACACAACATTCCCGCACACTGACCTTTTCAATGCACTTTATAACTAAGCTTTTGTTGACTCAAGGTGGACGCAGGTTTGCTCTGAATTAGCAATTAGAAAGATAGGAAACTGTAAAACAACTGGGGGGAAAAATAGTATAATAATAATAATACAGTATAATAGTGTATCAAAACATTTGATACAATTACCGTGTCTTTAAATGTAGAAGTTGAGGTTTAGGATAAAATTACTATAATTGCCAGACTTAAAGGAGCTGCTTTTTTCCATGTGGCAAATATGTATTTTTATTGCGGTAGTGGCATTATTGTGTTTATGCGAATAGCAGAGTGAGCCGACAAGAGAAAATGCAGAAATTCACAGGACTAAAATTGATAGGACTGTCAGCGAGTTTATGGGCTTTTCATTTTGACTCCATCAAGTCTCCAAAAGTTGCTGACGTGAGTCAGTCGTGAGTCCTTTAGCTATGTCCATCACGCATCAACTGTGAGTTAAAATACCTCGTCATTGAATCATGCTGTGACCAGTTAAAACAGTTGTCTATTGGTTTGTTTATTTACCTTCTTCCAAAATATTGCTTTGAAATTAAGCTGGTGCAGTTTAAAGCTGCGATTTATAGACCAGCAAGTACTGTACTCACAAAAATACAGAAACATTTTGTGCACTTTCAAAATGATGCCTGTCACCATATTTACTGTATGTAAAATAAAGTAGTTTCTTGAGAAAATATTACCCAAAAAATGGTTGCTATGGCTATTATTATAAGCACAAAAGGTATCACTCACTAAAAGATGTGAGTTACAATAAACTAAAGAACGAAGTGAAAAGCTACTTTTTTA